ATTAGACATGGGCTGTGTATCACCTAATTTACCCTTTTTATCGAAATTAATCTCCGTATGATGACTTTTTAACACCTTCTGACACACGTCATATTTTTTAATACCTTTCACAGATCCCTCAGCGACCGATATATATCTTGGTTTATTTCGAAGTTGCTGCAGTGCTGAGTGTTCACAGGCTTGTCAGGGAGCCTGGAAGACGTGCTGTGACGGAAGTGTGACGGAGAAAGTGACGGAGGGCGTCAGGTGAAGCATTTTAGCCTGTCCATAAAGAGAGCAACTCCATGACAGTTGTTTGTCTCCAGTACTGTCGACGGATAGCTCTCTTGATAGTGCAGACTTTACACCCTCAAACTAGTAGTGGTGGTGTTGCAACTGTGGTGCTGCAGCTGGTGGTGCTAGCGGTGTAGCAGATGCGTTGACGGCGGTGCAGCTGGCAATGACACAGGTGGTGATGTTGAAGGTGGCGGCGGTGGTGATGGTGGTGTTGATGCAGGGCTGGAACAAGGATGGTGGGAGTGATGTGGTAAGGTCTGGCACCCATAACATCACTGCAACCACCAACTTAAATCACACACGGAGGAAACGCTAATCGCATATTGCATGATACTACAATAACCTTAACAATCCTATCTCTCTCTCTCTCTCTCTCTATCTCTCTCTCTCTCTATCTCTCTCTCTCTCTCTCTCTCTCTCTCTCTCTCTCTCTCTCTCTCTCTCTCTCTCTCTCTCTCTCTCTCTCTCTCTCTCTCTCTCTCCCTCTCTCTCTCTCTCGTTCTCTCTGTAGACAATAATAGTCACATCCTGCTTTTAAAAATGCAACTCTATTTCTCTCCTTTCGAATGCATCAACATTCCGACACTTCAGTTCATTTACTGGCTAAGACCTGGAAATAAATGGTATAAAATACCGACACAATAGAAATATAAACACTTAACTATAAATACTCTCGTACCTTCCACCCAGGTAGATCTGTTTGTGACTTGAAAAAGCCACTGTGTGGGCTAAAAGTCGTCAATAAAGGATCACATTATACTGCATATATAACAAAAAAGGCACAATACCGTGACTGGAACGATACACAAATAACCCGGTCCAAGTTGGACGGAAACGTCGTCGTAAGCTTCTCTCTTTTATGTGCGGGTTGTGTATGCTGCATATGTGTTTATATTTCTGGCTAAGAACTGCTATCCTGCCTCATTTGGTTTCAAATTCCAGCAGTAACACACAATACAACTATTACCACCCCAGGATGCCACCCACAACAGTCGCTCGAACTAATGACTTATCATGTACTCCAAGACAAATATTACATATACATATATATATATATATATATATATTTATATATATATATATATATATATATATTATATATATATATATATTATATATATATATATATATATATATTATATATATGGGCATATATATGTATATGAATATTCTCTGTGTATATACACTCAAGAGAAGTTGCGCCTCTACATATTCCCTGTAGTGTGTATGTATATTCACTGTTATTACATAATATAACACAGGAAGTACACCTTGCTGGTGAGTCTCGGTTCAACGACACACAACGACACTCGTCTCAGCACGGTAATTATCCAATTCTATTTAAGCTAAATTACCGATGCTAATTATTCTTTACATTCCATTATAATTAAAACAGCAGGAAGGCTACAATGTACATATCTCTCTAATAACTAACAACATACAACTTTGTCACAAAGCTCCTGGAGAGCGAAACGTTGCCACAGTAAAATGTCGCATGAGTTGCACTTGTGTCCTTTTACCCAACATATTGTCGGTAATTCTAACATTATTAAAATATAAAAATCATTGTTCCATTATGGGAAAACCGAAATATATATATAATGTCATTGTCTTATCAAATTATCCTTTACTTCTAATATCCTCCGGGTTTAGCGCTTCCCCCTTGATTATAATAATAATAATAATAATAATTTACTTCTCATGACGAGGCTCACCAGGCATAATAAAGATTAATTATATTATATAACACAATATATGGTCAGTATGATAAATTAGACACATGTGCAACTCTTGGGTATCTTTATTGAGGAAACGTTTCGCCACACAGTGGCTTCATCAGTCCATACAAAGGAGAATCTTGAATAACAGGAGGAGAATGAGGTAATCAGTCCCTCAACCTTGAGTCGATGTGGTCAGTCCATCGACTCAAGGTTGAGGGACTGATTACCTCATTCTCCTCCTGTTCTTCAAGATTCTCCTTTGTATGGACTGATGAAGCCACTGTGTGGCGAAACGTTTCCTCAATAAAGATACCCAAGAGTTGCACATGTGTCTAATTTATCAACATGTCGGTTCTCTGAACCATTCATCTACAAATGGTCAGTATGTTTATGTATTACAACGAACCGTCGCAGTTCGTACACTTGGTTAAGTTAGCAAGTTATGACTCTCTCGTGAAGTCTTCAATACCTCGGGTACTAAATAAACCTTGTTCTTCTCAATTATATATTTGTTCAATCTCTTTTTTGAGGCTACCTAAGGTTTTAGCTTCTATGACCCTACTTAGATTCCACGCAGGGAACAATCTTCAACTTCTCTTGGTCTTTCTAAATTAAATTAGTGGGTGATTAATGGGGGATTTAAAGCCCATAGACTACACGGGGGTCATTAAGGCTGCATATAACCTTGTCACCACCAATCAAGAATACTTTTAAAAAACCATACCATACTTTAACCCTTAAAATACGTATTAAAATTTACACAGGCTACTATACACCTCCCTGTGTATGCATTCTGTGTATTCATAGTTATTATGGGTCAAACTAGAGGCCAAAATCAATTTATTTTCACTTATCAAGTGTCTTGCTATTGTATATAAACAAAATATCGTTACCAATTGTTTTTTTACTTGTGGCAGTTAAAATAGATGTAAATTTTTAATCTGATCAGAGTTATTTACAAGTTTATTGAACAACGGTTGTGATCTGTAAGAATATAATGCTTGTTCTGAGTTAGATCTGCTGACAACCATCACACAGGATGGTTCTCCTGTCATACTCCATCACACAGGATGGTTCTCCTGTCATACTCCATCACACAAGATGGTTCTCCTGTCTTACTCCATCACACAAGATGGTTCTCCTGTCTTACTCCATCACACAAGATGGTTCTCCTGTCTTACTCCATCACACAAGATGGTTCTCCTGTCATACTCCATCACACAGGATGGTTCTCCTGTCATACTCATCACACAGATGGTTCTCCTGTCATACTCCATTCACACAAGATGGTTCTCCTGTCATACTCCATCACACAGGATGGTTCTCCTGTCATACTCCATCACACAGGATGGTTCTCCTGTCTTACTCCATCACACAGGATGGTTCTCCTGTCATACTCCATCACACAAGATGGTTCTAATGTCATACTCCATCACACAAGATGGTTCTCCTGTCATACTCCACCACACAGGATGGTTCTCCTGTCATACTCCATCACACAGGATGGTTCTCCTGTCATACTCCATCACACAAGATGGTTCTCCTGTCATACTCCATCACACAGGATGGTTCTCCTGTCATACTCCATCACACAAGATGGTTCTCCTGTCTTACTCCATCACACAGGATGGTTCTCCTGTCTTACTCCATCACACAAGATGGTTCTAATGTCGTACTCCATCACACAAGATGGTTCTCCTGTCTTACTCCATCACACAAGATGGTTCTCCTGTCTTACTCCATCACACAAGATGGCTCTCCTGTCTTACTCCATCACACAAGATGGTTCTAATGTCGTACTCCATCACACAAGATGGTTCTAATGTCGTACTCCATCACACAAGATGGTTCTCCTGTCTTACTCCATCACACAAGATGGTTCTCCTGTCTTACTCCATCACACAAGATGGTTCTCCTGTCTTACTCCATCACACAAGATGGTTCTCCTGTCTTACTCCATCACACAGGATGGTTCTCCTGTCATACTCCATCACACAAGATGGTTCTAATGTCATACTCCATCACACAAGATGGTTCTCCTGTCATACTCCATCACACAGGATGGTTCTCCTGTCTTACTCCATCACACAGGATGGTTCTCCTGTCATACTCCATCACACAAGATGGTTCTAATGTCATACTCCATCACACAAGATGGTTCTCCTGTCATACTCCATCACACAAGATGGTTCTCCTGTCTTACTCCATCACACAGGATGGTTCTCCTGTCTTACTCCATCACACAGGATGGTTCTCCTGTCATACTCCATCACACAAGATGGTTCTAATGTCATACTCCATCACACAAGATGGTTCTCCTGTCATACTCCATCACACAAGATGGTTCTCCTGTCTTACTCCACCACACAGGATGGTTCTCCTGTCATACTCCATCACACAGGATGGTTCTCCTGTCATAGTCCACCACACAGGATGGTTCTCCTGTCTTACTCCACCACACAGGATGGTTCTCCTGTCATAGTCCACCACACAGGATGGTTCTCCTGTCATAGTCCACCACACAGGATGGTTCTCCTGTCATAGTCCACCACACAGGATGGTTCTCCTGTCATAGTCCACCACACAGGATGGTTCTCCTGTCATAGTCCCCCCAACAGGATGGTTCTCCTGTCATAAATCCACCACACAGGATGGTTCTCCTGTCATAGTCCACCCCCACAGGATGGTTCTCCTGTCATAGTCCACCACACAGGATGGTTCTCCTTCATAGTCCACCACACAGGATGGTTTCCTGTCATAGTCCACCACACAGGGTGGGTTTTCCCGTCATAGTCCATTTACACAGGATGGTTCTCCTGTTTATAGTCCACCACACAGGATGGTTCTCCTGTCATACTCCATCACACAGGATGGTTCTCCTGTCATAGTCCATCACACAGGATGGTTCTCCTGTCATACTCCATCACACAAGATGGTTCTCCTGTCATACTCCATCACACAGGATGGTTCTCCTGTATACCCATCACACAGGATTTGGGTTTTCCTGTCATACTCCATCACACAGGATGGTTCTCCTGTCATACTCCATCACACAGAATGGTTCTCCTGTCATACTCCATCACACAGGAAGGTTCTCCTGTCATACTCCATCACACAGGATGGTTCTCCTGTCATACTCCATCACACAAGATGGTTCTCCTGTCATACTCCATCACACAGGATGGTTCTCCTGTCATACTCCATCACACAGGATGGTTCTCCTGTCATACTCCATCACACAGGATGGTTCTCCTGTCATACTCCATCACACAGGATGACATAAGTACTGGTATTACCCCGGCTCACCTAGAAATAAGTAGATATCTTGGGGTTTGTTTATCTATTCACCTAACAGTACTACACGCTTTATGACCCCCCTACGGTTTTAAAGCTTCCCTATAATTATATTTCCATATATACAAATGTAAACCCACAACTGTACATACATGAACAGCTGTGGGTGTACATGTACGCTTCCGTCCTTTGTCAGTACAAAGGAAGGAGGAGACAGCTGAAGATTGTGCAACTGCCTTGTACTCAGCTGAGGTCGGTGCAAAGTAACGTGAGTAAAAAAATATATGTACTTTTACAAGAGTACATATACTAGTATTGTACCACATAGTACACTTGCACACGTACATGAGCTCAGTTCAAAACCTATGGAGGTAGAGGAGGGGAAGGGGTAACTTTCTGATATGAATTATCGTATTGTAAACAGATCTAGTTGTAGCATTCACTGTTTGTCAGGAAATTGTTGCAGTTACGGTATTGTTCCAGCCACTGTATTGTTATAGCCACTGTATTGTTATAGCCACTGTATTGTTATAGCCACTGTATTGTTATAGCCACTGTATTGTTATAGCCACTGTATTGTTATAGGCACTGTATTGTTATAGGCACTGTATTGTTGCAGCCACGGTGTTGTTGCAGCCACGGTGTTGTTGCAGCTACGGTGTTGTTGCAGCCACGGTGTTGTTGCAGCCACGGTGTTGTTGCAGCCACGGTGTTGTTGCAGCCACGGTGTTGTTGCAGCCACGGTGTTGTTGCAGCTACGGTGTTGTTGCAGCCACGGTGTTGTTGCAGCCACGGTGTTGGTGCAGCCACGGTGTTGGTGCAGCCACGGTGTTGTTGCAGCCACGGTGTTGTTGCAGCCACGGTGTTGTTGCAGCCACGGTGTTGTTGCAGCCACGGTGTTGTTGCAGCCACGGTGTTGTTGCAGCCACGGTGTTGTTGCAGCCACGGTGTTGGTGCAGCCAGGGTAATGGTGACTTGCATTCTTCCCTGTGGGCACATTATTACTATTATAATCAAAGGGGAAGCGCTAAACCCGTAGGATTATACAGCACCTGTGGGGGGGATGTGGAAGGCATTCAGACTTAATTCGGGGAACTGGAGCACAGATCCAATTCCCTCGATCAAGAGCCCCTCACCACCATCAAGGAACCTCCCTTGAGGGGCCCTGTGGGCACAGCTTTCACAAAGTGGGACTACAACTGTTGAGAAGAGGCAGAGTTTAAAAATACAACACCCACATACAATACAATATGCACATATCAACACACACACACACACACACACACACACACACACACACACACACACACACACACACACACACACACACACACACATACACATACTGTACATACCGTTTTTACAGCCTCGGAACCAGAATTATCTCTCTTCTCAACTTCCATCCATCTAACATCCACCAAAATACCATAAAAGATAATAAACTAAGGCATAGTGATCATCCCCATGGTACCAGGTGAGAAGCTACCCCGCCCCCTACCATAAGTAATGGTGGGCTGAGGGTTAATGGTTGTATCATGGTGCCTAAGGTTGTAATAATACCTGTTACTGTGGGTGAATAATGGTAACCTGACGAGGTTATCTTGAGATGATTCCTGAAGGAGTGGCTGGCGTTGGTTCTGTTTCAACCACCTGCTGGGTCCACTTGCTAGTCCACTTGCCTGGTCCACCTGCCTGGTCCACCTGCCTGGTCCACCTGTAGGCAATGGTGAAGATGAGAGCGATGTTGATAGATTACGGCCATGACTTGAAGACGTGGAAGAGTGATAGAAGAGAGTAAGAGGGAGAGGTGTGGAGGAAGTGACAGGAATAAGAGGGAGGTAAGAGGAGGGAATGAGAGGGAGGCAAGAGGGAATGAGAGGGAGGTAAGAGAGGGCAGAGAAATATTGCGATGAGCTGGGGGGGATGTATCGTAAACAACTGGGACGGGGGAAACACTCAAGAGGTTGTCGACTGTAGCTCCAAGCATGTGGACGAGACAAGTGTGAGGAACAAGCCCTTGTTGAAGCATCGTTTCGCTCCAGGTAGACCGAAACGTCACATAGAGTTTCCAGAGTGTGCGTTATTTGCGAATTGTTCCAGCCACGGTGCGTGACTGTTTTGTTCTTCACATAACGTGAATAAATGCTCCGGTTTCCGTACTAATGTGAAGCTTAGCATGCAGCGTTCTCCAGCATCACTAAGAGATGGT